AAACCACCTGCTATCACATTCACTTTATCCTAGGTCAGATAAAGCCCCAGACCTCTTCAACCCATCCAGAATACTGCAGCCCATCTGCATGTTACTACTTATTTAATACACAATTCAAACACAGCAATTTTGCTGCAACATGGCCATTGTGTTTTGCCAGTATATTACCATAGGGCGTCATTTATTCTAAAAGTGTCTAAAACATACAGTACCCCTTTCTAAAACACGTTATCGAACTCTCCAACGAACTAATGCAGGCACGAATGTAATCTGAAAGCAAAATGGACAACAATTCTATGGATGCAAGGACTTAGTCCATGAGATCAACATGATAGTTTTGTATTTTGAAACTATAAACACTTTGTAAAGATGTATTATTTTAAATATACATATACTTATATTTTGTGCTATGATGGGGTTAGACAGTTAAATGAAATGCCTCATGAGCTTAGTTTAAGTTATATTCACCAAGAATCCATGTGTATATCGTTAATTGAAATTACAGTAAATATTGCAATTGTACTTTCAAGTATCCAATATCTCTGACAAACTACGTCCGACATTATACAACCATTAATCTCTTGTGGACAGATCTACGTAAACATAACTAGTACCGTAGAATCTGTCACCATCCTATGGGATGCGTGAGATAACAAGCAGCATCACTGCTGGATCGTGGATTTTCGTCGCTGGTTATTTGGACGTATCAGGATTGGGCGAAGGCGGTGCTTAAAAAGATGATAAACACAGGCTGAGTTTCCTTTGCGATGGTGGAGACTTATCAAACTGGAAATCTCGATTTCTAACACGCTTACCCCAGAACCTAATTGAGCATCTGAACAAATCACGGAAGACTTCAGTTCTGGGTTAACAGAGATAATGCAACCATTACACAATTTGTGGAAAATATGTTTGCTTGTATCGTTTCCCCTAACATTTTATTGAGAATATGATATGCCTAGATAGAATCTCATATTACTGATTGTAATAGCTCTAGTTTCAGTTATAGTGCACATTACCGCCAGTATGATAAAGTCATTGTAATCAGCTACCATCTGCCTAACCCCACCCAAAAAACGATAACACACAGAAATGTTCCCACACTTTCTCAGTGTGCATACATTAACACATATACAGAATGTTTCATATACATAAATAATATAACTTAAGCTTTACAATCTTCTTGCTGGTAGCAGAGGGGTGAGGTAAAGGACTGCTGATCAGCAGCTCACCAAGCACATTTCAAAACCAACCTCCCCTTCCCCTGTACACCATGGCTGCAGTCCAAACACGTAATTTTTACACCTTCAGCCCTTGCGCTAGCCACTTTCCCTCGGGGGAATCCCCATCGAAACAGGATCTTAAGTGGAGCTCCAATTCACACACGTTACACCCTCGGCCCTCGATTTAGATCGAGGGAGCAAGTGAAGAACTTTGGTCACTTTTGGGGTTGATATGACCCACAATTCAATCTGTAGTCACGTGTCAAACTCTGGTGGCCGCAAAGTGTCAAATTTAATCAACACTGCTGTATTTTCGGACAAAATTATGCTAGCTTGCAAAAAAATAAAAAATAAGATTCTTGATTTTAGCGTTGGCAAAATCTCGCAGTGAGGAGCCTATAAAACGTTGCTAGCTTCAAAAACATATTTTTGTAATTCTGAAATGTATTGGAATAAAACTAGCTAGCCAGCTATGGGTAACTGTAGGTAGCTACCTGACAGCAGTGCTAGCTAGCTACGTTAGCTTGCTAGGTACATTAAATAGCTTTAGGTTGGTTGTTTTTAAGTTCAACTTTAAGATTTTAACCAAGGACGTTGCCTCTCTGATCATTACGATCCCTCGCTTGGGCAAGGGACATTGAAGGTACACTCTGACGTGACTATGTAAAACGTCATTCAAGGGCTGAGGGTTTAGGGCCGCGGGCTGTCTATTTTGAGTTTGGACTGCAGCCCATGATTGAAGCTTGGAGTTAGCCAGGGGGAAGGAGTCCAGACTCCTGGGTCATGTTTATTAGGGCACGCAACTAAAATGTTTTTAAAAACAGGAAATGAAAATTAGCTGTGTTATTGGACAAGTCCAGGTAGTCCCTCCCTGTTTCAATCAGTTTTCTTCTGTTTGGTGCCTACTGAACATGACCCTGAAGAGGGCAGTATATGCTGGCCTCTGTTTCAATAGAAAACTCTTTAAAGGAGAGAATCCCCTGTTCATTCTTATCTGTGCCTTGTATCCTCCAAGGCATTTATTCATAAAATGTCTCAGATCAGTTTAGCCTTTTAGAACATAATGGATATGACGGGTGAACTGACCCTAGATCAACACTCAGACGCTTTATGACTACACTAAACTACGCAGAACAAAAATATAAAACGCAACATGCGACAATCTCAAAGGTTTTACTGAATTACAGTTCATAGAAGGAAATCAGCCATAATCTATGGATTTCACATGACTTGGAATACAGAAATGCATCTGTTGGTCACAGATACCTTAAAAGAAAATGGGGCTCAGGATCTTGTTAAGGTATTTCTGTGCATTCAAATTGCCATCGATAAAATGCATGGGGCACTCTGTTCACACCGTTAGCGTCAGCAAACCGCTCGCCCACAGGATGCCATACATGTGGTCTGGGGTTGTGAGACCGGTTGGACGTACTGCCAAATTCTCTAAAACAATGTTTGAGGTGGCTTATGGTAGAGAAATTAACATTACATTATCTGGCAACAGCTTTTGTGGACATTCCTGCAGTCAGTATGCCAACTGCACACTCCCTCAAAACTTGAGACATCTGTGGCATTGTGACAAATCTGCACATTTTAGAGTGGCCTTTTATTGTCCCCAGCACAAGGTGCACCTGTGTAATGATCATGCTGTTTAATCAGCTTCTTGATATGCCATGCCTGTCAGGTGTATGGATTATCTTGGCAAAGGAGAAATGCTCACTAACAGGGATGTAAACAAATTTGTGGACAACATTTTAGAGAAATAAGCTTTTTGTGTGGATGGAACATTTCTGGGATCTTTTATTTCAGCTCATGAAACATGGGACCAACACTTGACATGTTGCGTTTATATTTTTGTTCAGTGTAGTTGAGGTGAGTCAGATATAAAAAATGGAATGGTCACTAAGTGAAATACGCTTTTCTGGGCAACATTTACTGAGCGTTTGCACCCGCTGTCGTCAGAGGGGAAAACATGACTAACAAAGTGCACATTTGGGTGATTTCAGGAGAAGTGTATACTACAAAGCAGGATCAATGAGTTAGCCAGCTAACTTTGATAAACAGAAATAACTACAGATTTTCTGGTTCATTAGGAAAGCTAAACTAAGATATGCATTTTTTCAATCATACCATGCCTTTTTCAAGCTTATCTTTCTAAAAAAATATGTTTTTTCAGAATATTTAGGCAAGTTAGCTGGCTAAAGCATTGATCTTGCTTTGTAGTATACCCCTCAGGACTCAACGTTGTGGAACGTTCAGATATAAATATGTAGAACATGGCTCACTGACATATTGAAGGGAATGGGGTTCCCTGCCCATGTGGCAAAAGATAAATACAAGTCATTGATATTTAGAACAGCATCATGTAAAGCTGACACATATGTCATGTGTGTCAACGAGTCCATTGAAATGAAAAAGACTGGAACAAAAACAACATGTAGGTGTTAAGGAATGGAGCTCATCCCTAGTGTCTGGGGGACTACAGTGACTGTTTAGCGTCTTTTGAAGATTGGGGCAGCTTTAGGTCTACATAAAAGTTCCCATACAAATACATGATGTAGATTGGAACATACTGTAACTGCTTTTATATAGTGGGGAATCATGTCAGCTCTAAACAAATAGTTTCTTGCAACTTCCTGAACGATGCATCCCTCCAGGATACAACTTCCCCTGGAATCGAGGTGAGCTGACCAATAAATGGGTCTAGTAGTTGATTGATCAAGTACAGAGTTTCAAGAAGACCAGCACACGCTGTAGACCTAAATGACCAAAACGTTGCATTCTTTTGATGCTGACAGTGACTGATGGGACATAACACTGAACACCTGAATAAATAGTATCAAGCAGATTTGTGCCAAGTGTGTGGGTTCACTCCACTGTCTAGAGAATTGTCATCACAAACAGAGCATTCCCTGTTTAACTGTTACATGGAGGGCATGTTCATTGTGATTGGCACATGATGAGTTTGTTATGGAGAATTGTGCGTAGTCTTGTCCACAACAACACGTCTTCACACTCCTTACAGCAGTGTTATTCAAACCTGGTCCGGTGGACCCACAAGGCGTGTAGGCTTTTGTTCCAGCCCAATACAACTACTTAAGCGGTTGATGTGGTGTGTTAGTGCAGAGCTATAACAACCACATAACAGACCCTGTGGGTAGCCAGGACAAGGTTTGAAGAGCACTGAATTACAGTATTAACTTGACCCTTGACAACCTCAATGCTCCCAGCCAGTTTGAGACAACCAACATCCAACCACCCACTGTGTGCCATTTCGGACACAGCCAGAAAGACAGGGAACTGCACAATATCAGTGCTCTCTGTTATTGTTGCAATGCATTCTTTTCTTTTAAGGCCAAAAACAGGAATCTGATTTAAAATTGAAACCTGGGCACAGTTTTTCAAGGTTATCTGATCGGATTTCGGCAATTGGATAGGATTAAACGTCAATGAATTCAAGTCAATTAATGTTCTATTAATTATATTTCTATGCATTTAATTCTATCCGATTGCCAAAATCCGATAACTTTTGAAAAACTAGGCCCAGGAGAAACAGACAGACTTCAACATTAAAAGCCTCTGCCCACCCCAAGGTCATGTAAAACTAACGATGTGTCCGATTGCAGCTGTAAAAAGAGACAATCCAGCTCTGTTTATAGTGGCAATTTGGCAACAACAGTCTAACTCACTCGCCTTGCCTCTGTTGGATATAATTTCAAATGGATATATGATAGCTTCTACTTCAAGAGAAAACTGCCTTCATGGCTCTTTTCACTGACACTTTCAACTGGACACCAACTAGCTCTCTGCTGCCACCCATGGGCCACCGGATGACCTTCCTATAGGCAAGAAAACCACCCCCCCCCACGCATGTGAGCACAGAATGTTCCAATGCCAGTGAGGCAAAGTAATGGGCGGTTGGACATTAGAGGGTAGGGCTAGGGAAACCCCTGTCCAGTCTGTGCCTCCATTGAACAATCCAGACAGACAGCCAGCCACCCAATGGCAGAGGGCCAGAGCAGAGCATAGCCAATCACATGTCGGACCAGAGCACGGCCTTGCTGCCCTTCTCCACACTGACCACGTAGGCTCCCGACGGCGACCAGGACACCGAGTTGATGGCCGAGCTGAGAAGAGAAAACAGAACTGAGCAGGACGGCAGAACAGGAGTTTCAGGTAGAAGTTACCCCTTACCCCAAAGAGATGGAAAAAGTTCCCTTCCTTGCATCTGTGCCATAATGGCTTCTGTGACAGCATGGGCAGCGCCATTGAGGGCTTTCTTAATGTGGTCGTTTTTGTTTGTTTGTACTTTTAGCCCTTTTTCTCCCCAATATAGTGATATCGAATTGGTAGTTACAGTCTTGTCCCATCGCTGCAACTCCTGTACGGACTCAGGAGAGGCCTCTGAAACACGACCCTGCCAAGCCGCACTGCTTCTTGACACACTGCTCGCTTAACCCGTAAGCCAGCCGCACCAATGTGTCAGAGGAAAAACCGTCCAGCCGGCACCACAAGGAGTCGCTAGAGGGCGATGGGACAAGGAAATCCCGGCCGGCCAAACTCTCCCCTAACCAGGACGACGCTGGGCCAATTGTGCGCCGCCTCATGGGTCTCCCGGTCACGGTCGGCTGTGACGCAGCCTGGGATCGAACCCGGGTCTGTAGTGATGCCTCAAGCACTGTGATGCAGTGTCTTAGACCACTGCGCCACTCGGGAGGCCCGGCTTTCTTCATTTTAAAGTATTATATTTTCTTCTACTATGAGTCGGTCAACAAACTGAAATGGTGCATACTGCCACCTGGAGTGTGTTACATTTACATTTTAGTAATTTAGCAGACGCTCTTATCCAGAGCGACCTACAGTTAGTGAGTGCATACATTTTCATATTGGCCCCCCGTGGGAAACGAACCCACAACCCTGCGCCATGCTCTACCAACTGAGCTACACGGGGCCCTGTTGTCTGAACAGGCATAAACACAAGGTTGGTGATTTAATGCGGTCTGCAGTTATAGAATGTTTGCTTACAAGTATATTGGCTGATCCCTCCTGCTGACCTGGATGGAATGAAGTGATCTTTCCTTAACCCATAGCAGTGTTTGCCCTGTGTTCATTTAACACCAAAAAAATAATAATTTTGTAAATATTTTTTTTTACAGAGGAACACTTTGAAGATGCTAGAACTGTCAACATGTACTTTTCCTCTGCCAACAAGAGTAATGAACACTAGCATCAGACAACCCCATAGTAGAATAGTTTACCTAGCTATTTACCTAGTCAGCTTGTCGTTGTGTGTTCTATGTGAGAAATAAATATTCCTCTCGAGGGGCATTCAAGTTGCAAGTCCCACAGGGAGAGAAACATGCATTCTGATAAGCAGTCAATTCACATTCCTTAACGCAATTGCAGGAAAAACGTTTGATAGCCTTTGTTAAAAAGATGGGGATCCCAGCTTTCTATGGCTACTACTTTTCTTTCTCAACTCCTAATAACGAGCGATCTGCGCTGTATATCAGCATTGTTTAGGCGCATTTAGCCTCTGCAATTGGCTGTGAGTGCATCAGGGAGAACGGTGCTAAATGTAACAAGGGTCAATTGTAACATATTATTCTCTTTGTTAATGTTAAGTTTTTTTGTTTGGATATTAAACGCATTGATCATGTTCAGAGTTTGGGATCTAGTTAATGATTAGCCCAATGAGGTATGCATATGGGTAACACCATGTTTCAGCCTATTTCATTATATTCAGCATATTCTTTCCCCAATCATTTTGGAGTAGAACGTCCTATTAAAAACTCACCAGAACGGACCTTCTCACAGTCCTACAAAAACACTCCCCTGGGACCCTCCTCCACCCATCCTTCCCCGACCCTTGCCACCGCTGCTAAAATTCTAGGGGAAACACTGCACAGAAAGTCCCACCCAGCTCTCTACTTAAAAAATATAAAAAGTCCTCAATGGCCCTGCCCAAGTTAACAGGCTTTGTGGCACTAGAGCCGTCTATCCAAGTCTATGGCTTACCCTCAAATGCTGAACCTTAAACCATTAAAAACGTGCAAAACTGACTAGAGTGCAGTGTCAAAGCGAGACTTGATCCTACTCCAGAAATTCAAACTGACCAGTGGTTCTTGTCCAGTGTGCGCTCCAACTTGCCCGTCAGGACATTCCACACATACAGAGCTCCGTCTGCAGAGCCCCCCGCCACGTAACTGCCATCGGGACTGAGGAGAACAAGGAAACGGGAGGATCAAAACAAGGTGCTCGAGTGGAAAGTCATGGGACTGTGGTTGGAGAGGTGAGCATGTGCACACTTGCATGGAGGATGATAGGGAATTTGACCAGGACCTTTGTTAGTAAAACTATAAACCAAATGGCACTCTATTCCCTACACAGTGCACTACTTTTGACCAATGGGCTCTATTCTATGTAGGGTGCCATTTAGGACAGCCTTGGTGTAAAATGTGTCCACTCACCTGAAGGTGACTCGGGTCCAGTCAGCGCCACACTTGAAGCCCTGAGCACTGGGAGGAGAGATGGGAAAACACTTGACATAAACCTCCAACACCACTAATCCACATCAGACCTGTGTTCAAATAGTACTTGGTTTCCTTTTAAATATGTTGAGTGTTTGATTGCACCTTGAGTGCCAGACAGGCAGGGTTTGCACTACTAGGACTATTCCATTGCCCACATACAGCATCTATTCACCAATAAGAATAAAGAGAATCTCTGACCACCAATGCAATCTCCTCAGATTATCTTAATTGACAATATGGGTGAAGCTCTCCATGACTACAAATATACTAGAAAGAAAACACAGAGTGCTGGCTTGACACACCAATTGGTGAGTGGTGGTCAGGTGAGTGAGCTGGAGTCTACGGTACTAAAGCAGTGACATGTCCCCGTACCTGAAGGTCTGGCGGACCGCGTTGCTGCGCAGGTCGATGATCTTAACCAGGTCGTCCCGGGAGCAGGTGAGCAGTTCGGTGCGGTCGTGGTTCAGGTCAAGAGATGTGACTCGGCCCAGAAGCTCCAGCTCGCAGACTATACTCTCCGCTCTAAAAAAATAAAAAATTCAGAGCAACCAAATGAATACACAGGCTAGGATGGGCTACAGGACAATAGCAAGCTAAAAAATGGTAACAGTGTTACGAGAGGGGGGGTATTCATATTAGAGCACACAGTAGCAAAATGAGTTTCTCATGGGACAAATTCAGGTAGGTCACTCCCCGTTTAGGCAGATTATCTTCCTCTGGGTTTGTAGTGAATACCCCCCCGGACAAAAAGACAGTGTCATGACAAGAAAACGACACCTTAGGCAAAGACCCCATACAACCATTCAAATCAAATCAAATTTTATTTGTCACATACACGTGTTTAGCAGATGTTATAGCGGGTGTAGCGAAATGCTTGTGCTTCTAGCTCCGACAGTGCAGTAATATCTAACAATTTCACAACATATACCCAATACACACAAAACTAGTAAGGAATGAGATTTAAGAATATATACATGGACAAGCAATGACAGAGCGGCATGGACTAAGATACAGTAGAATATTATAGAATAGAATGCAGTGTATACAGTGGGGAGAACAAGTATTTGATACACTGCCAATTTTGCAGGTTTTCCTACTTACAGAGCATGTAGAGGTCTGTAATTTTTTATCATAGGTACACTTCAACTGTGAGAGACGGAATCTAAAACAAAAATCCAGAACAACACATTGTATGATTTTTAAGTAATTAATTTGCATTTTATTGTATGATGTTTCCACCCCCATGCTTCACAGTAGGTATGGTGTTCTTTGGATGCAACTCAGCATTCTTTGTCCTCCAAACACGACGAGTTGAGTTTTTACCAAAAAGTTATATTTTGGTTTCATCTGACCATATGACATTCTCCCAATACTCTTCTGGATCATCCAAATGCACTCTAGCAAACTTCAGACGTGCCTGGACATGTACTGGCTTAAGCAGGGGGACATGTCTGGCACTGCAGGATTTGAGTCCCTGGCGGCGTAGTGTGTTACTGATGGTAGGCTTTGTTACTTTGGTCCCAGCTCTCTGCAGGTAATTCACTAGGTCCCCCTGTGTGGTTCTGCGATTTTTGCTCACCGTTCTTGTGATCATTTTGACCCCACGGGGTGAGATCTTGCGTGGAGCCCCAGATCGAGGGAGATTATCAGTGGTCTTGTATGTCTTCCATTTCCTAATAATTGCTCCCACAGTTGATTTCTTCAAACCAAGCTGCTTACCTATTGCAGATTCAGTCTTCTCAGCCTGGTGCAGGTCTACAATTTTGTTTCTGGTGTCCTTTGACAGCTCTTTGGTCTTGGCCATAGTGGAGTTTGGAGTGTGACTGTTTGAGGTTGTGGACAGGTGTCTTTTATACTGATAACAAGTTCAAACAGGTGCCATTAATACAGGTAACGAGTGGAGGACAGAGGAGCCTCTTAAAGAAGAAGTTACAGGTCTGTGAGAGCCAGAAATCTTGCTTGTTTGTAGGTGACCAAATACTTATTTTCCACCATAATTTGCAAATAAATTCATAAAAAATCCTACAATGTGATTTTCTGGAAAAAATTCTCAATTTGTCTGTCATAGTTGACGTGTACCTATGATGAAAATTACAGGCCTCTCATCTTTTTAAGTGGGAGAACTTGCACAATTGGTGGCTGACTAAATACTTTTTTCCCCCACTGTACATACATACTGTGTAGGGCGCATGCTAACCGGAGCTTATGATAAGCCAAATGGGATAAACTGGCTAAATTAGCTAGCTAGCCACATAGATTGTTAGCTAGCTACCAGCCACCCGGACAGTTGATGAAACTGGGTTTGCACAACCGAAGAATTTCTGCAGAAACCATCTCAGGGAAGCTCATCTGCGTTCTCGTCGTCCTCACCAGGGTCTTGAACCGACTGCAGTTCGGCATCGTAACAGACTTCAGCGGGAAAAACCCGGTTTCATCTGTACCGGGCAGATGGCAGACAGCGTATGGCGTCGTGTGGGCGAGCCGTTTGCTGATGTCAACGTTGTGAACAGAGTGCCCCATGGTGGCGGTGGGGGCAAAAGCTACAGAACAAACACAATTGCATTTTATCAAAGGCAATTTGAATGCACAGATACCGTGACGAGATGCTGCGGCCCATTGTTTCAGCATGATAATGCACAGCCCCATGTCGCAAGGATCTGTACACGGAGAAGCGGAGAATGTCCCAGTTCTTCCATGGCCTGCATACTCAGACGTCACCCATTGAGCATGTTTGGGATGCTTTGAATCGACGTGTATAACAGCGTGTTCCATTTCCCACCAATGTCCAGCAACTCTGCACAGCCAATGTGGGACAATATTCCACAATCAACAGCCTGATCAACTCTATGCAAAGGAGCTGTGTTGCGCTGCATGAGGCAAATGATGGTCACACCAGATACTGACTGGTTTTCTGATCCACGCCGGTACCTTTAAGGTATCTGTGACCAACAGATGCATATCTGTATTCCCAGTCATGTGAAATCTATAAATTAGGGGCCTAACCTTATATTAACTGTAACTCAGTGAAATAGTTGCATGTTGCGTTCATATTTTTGTTCAGTGTAGTTATCTTTGTCTGCATTTCCATTAACTTGACTAGCAGCAGGTTGAGCGGATGGACAACGCAGGGGCAAGTCCTCTTTATTGCTTGTTAGCTGATGAATTTCAGTACAGCTGTGGCAGTCAACTCGCAATAACAAGCTATAGGAGATTAGTAAATACAAATTGGAAATTAAGTTTTAAATTGTGCTTCACATGAAATCTATATTCCATGTTGCATATTATAGCTCCAGTGTCACATACCCCAATATTGCCTCAAATAATTGCTAGTGTATCATAGTCTTAAGGGGGGGCCTATAAAATTACATTATTTCCCCAAATTCTGTTTTCTCAGTTACATTTTTTCCTGGTTTTGGATCATTTTGTATTTTTCACTCTCAATTTCAATTATTTATAGAGAAACAACAAAATGGGATGTTCCGAGTCCATGTCAATGCTTAAATCACATCAGAATACAATTTTTTAGGTCTTAGAATTGAGTGTAATTCCCCTTTAATTGCGCTTATAGGAGAGAGTAATGTGTTTGCCTAGCTTAGTTTTTGTACTGCTGCTGCTAATTTCATGGCAGAGTTTGAAAAACAAATGGGAGGCATACACTAGCAGTCAAAAGTTTGGACAAACTTACTCATTCAAGGATTTTTCTTTATTTTTTACATGTTTTAACATTGTAGATTAGCAGTGAAGACATTAAAACTATGAAATTACATATGGATCATGTAGTAACCAAAAAAAGTGTTAAAACAAATCAAAATATATATTTGAGATTCTTCCGTTCACCTACTCTGCGTCTCACAAAGACACAGCAGTTAGAACCAAAAATCAAAAATTTGGACTCATCAGACCAAAGGACAGATTTCCACCGGTCTAATGTCCATTGCTCGTGTTTCTTGGCCCAAGCAAGTCTCTTCTTATTATTGGTGTCCTTTTAGTAGTGGTTTCTTTGCAGCAATTCGACCATGAAGGCCTGATTCACACAGTCTCCTCTGAACAGTTGCGGTTGATGTGTCTGTTACTTGAACTCTGAAGCATTTATTTGGGCTGCAATCTGAGATGCAGTTAACTCTAATGAACTTTTCCTCTGCAGCAGAGGTAACTCTGGGTCTTCCTTTCCTGTGGTGGTCCTCATGAGAGCCAGTTTCATCATAGCGCTTGATGGTTTTTGCGACTGCACTTGAAGAAACTTTCAAAGTTCTTGAAGTTTCCTGGATTGACTGACCTTCATGTCTTAAAGTAATGATGGACTGTCGTTTCTCTTTGCTTATTTTAGCTGTTCTTGCCATAATATGGACTTGGTCTTTTACCAAATAGGGCTATCTTCTGATTGATTGATAGAGAATGCCAAGAGTGTGCAAAGCTGTCATCAAGGCAAAGGGTGGCTATTTGAAGAATCTCATTTTTTTTTTTGTACATGATTCCATATGTGTTATTTCATAGTTTGATGTCTTCACTATTATTCTACAATGTAAAGAGTAAAGAACAGTAAAAATAAAGAAAAACCCTTGAATGAGTAGGTGTCCAAACTTTTGACTGGTACTGTCCGTTAAGTTTTACTAGGGATATGGTTATAGTGCCTTCGGAAAGTATTCAGACCCCATGACTTTTTCCACATTGTTAGGTTACAGCCTTATTCAAAAATTGATTAAATTGTTTTTTCCCCCCTCCTCAATCTACATACAATACCCCATAATGACAAAGCAAAAACAGGTTATTATAATTTTTTTCTAATTTATGAGAAATAAAAGTAAATATCACATGGATGACCAATGGAAACAGGATGCAACAGAGCTCAATTTTGAGTCTCATAGCAAAGGGTCTGCATACTTATGTTTTAAATTTTTAATAAATGTGCAAACATTTCTACAAACCTGTTTTCGCTTTGTCATTATGGGGTATTGTGTGTAGATTGCTGAGGATTATAATTTTTTTAATCAATTTTAGAATAAGGCTGTAACTAACGTAAACAAATGTGGAAAAAGTCAAGGGGTCTGAATACTTTCCTAAGGCACTGTAGGTTCACCGTTTTGGTAAGGTTAATGGGGCAATCTGCAGTTTCGTTATTAATTTTCTGACTTGTAAATTAAAATGTACCCATTGACTCTTGAAGAATATAACTTATAAATGCTTCATGAGCTTAGTTCAACGCTTTGTTTCAACTGCGGATTGCCCCTTTAAGGTTAGTGGATAGTTAGTTGGATGTCTATAAGCCATCTATTGAGGACTATCTGAATAAAGTGTCACCCTCCACACTCACCTGATGTCCCAGAACCGCACTTTCTTATCAAAATGGCCGCTCATGACACACTGCTCTGTGCAGACTATGTCATTACAGCTGGATCCAGCAAACACAGTCTTCATGCCTGAGAGGAAGAAACATAGTAGGGTTTAGAACTGACCAAAGGCTTCATCCACAAGAAAAACGAATCCCCAACGAGTAGAACATACACCGAATCCGCATTAATCTCTTAAAAGCCATTTTGTGTGGCTGAAAAAAACCAAATCCTTTAAAGAGGAAACCAGAGAAAGAGGAATGTAAACAAAATGTTAACACCAATGGGGAAAATAAAAAACACTCTTACAGACTTTGCTGCGCAGGTCCCATAGTTTCAGAGTCCTGTCGTAGCTCCCTGAGACAATGCGAGCGTTGTCCAGGAGAAAGCGAGCCGCCAGCACCTTCCCACTGTGGCCTGTCAGCGTGTGCTGGGGGGGGGGGGGAACAAAAATGAGCGTTTCTTATTGGCCCAGCCACGTTAAGGTGAATGGAAAGTGCACTGCCCTTTGTGTTTGAGAACACAGGTATGGTCTCAGTTTGAAAGTTGAGATCAGCGGCCCAGCCCCGTACCACAGCTTGATACCCCTTTGTGATTGGTTCTGTTGGATGTCCAGCAACACAGTGACGCCATGGTCTCTTAGAGACACAGGATGTGAGGTCATCCTCTCTGTCAGCAGCCCCTGTGTCCAACGATGCACAACTAGAGCATGCTGGGAGTAGAGCAGGGGCTGTTGGGAGCCGATGGATAGCAGGGAGTGGAACTGGGCATCAGACCTTTTACATTACATCATTGACCATATGACTTCTGCAGTATCTGACAAACACAGCCTAGAAGGACATTTTAGCCTCCAAAAAGGGGCTCATGTTCTTATATACATAGGGACAGAAGTATTTCCTGACCACATAGCATGGATCATAGTAAGTTACAGTTTTTCAGGAAAAACTGCTGAACCCATCCTAAGAACCATCTAGGGATGTTCCCGACAATCTTTATTTTCTTCTTTCGACCAATTGATTAGTCAAAAAAAATGTAAACGTGTATTTTTCCATATGTGTTTTAATAAAATCAACTATATGTACTGAGCTTGTCTGATGCTTTAAGCACGCTGTTTGATTAAATAATTACGACACACAAATGACTCAAGATGAAGATAGCCTAACCAGAAGAAAAAAACCCAGATTCTTCCATTAAGCTGCTGAAGTTGCCGGTAATAGGCTAAATTTCATTTATAATAGTCTTTATAGCTCAAAATGATTGTCATGTGGTTAATCTAAATGAAAATGATACAAATCTAATAGTAACTTTATTGCCATTGCCAACTATGTAATAGCCTACATAAGCCAACAAATAACATTGCAGCCTGCAGTTAGGAAATATCCTGCAAAAAATAAATATCCTAGAAATCACATTGGCTATACATGGCCTGTCTGCAACGTACTTGAAACCTCGTAGCAACTATCAACTGTGTCCGGCCTGAAGCTCACGCTAGCAAACTTCTTATAAAATATTCTGGGCCCTCAGTTTCCCCACCAGTGAGCTCGGTACAGACACAGCTGTAGGCTATTTGTGCAAGGGATATAAAGTAAAACAGCTAATTTGATGTTTCCATTGGATCAGAACATTACATTTTCCCCTTTCATGCCAAATGGTTATCGAAAGGGAGACAGCTGGAAATATTTTTCAAATACAATGAGGAACTATTGTCATTCTCAATGGATTCTAAAAACAGACTGTTTACTTGCAGCTTGAAGTGAAAAAATATGTACTGTAAATGTAGGCTACTACTGGTGATATGTAATGGGGAATTGATAGACACTAACAATCAAAGGGCAATCAATTCACACAAATGAAGTTATTAAACAATGAATGCGCACAAAATGCCGGGAGAGATAGCATTCTGAAGAGACGTGCCTTGCGCATCTTAGCCACACTCCCTTTCTTGGACCATGGCATTCCCGCAGCCTAGTCAATGGATTAGTCCACTGAGACAGGCGCAATTCAGACAGGTGTCTCATGTGCCATGGAAAAAATGATATCTATTTTTGACTGCTCAACTAAAGAAAATCGCGGTCGACCTACAGCCTATCGACCAGTCGACTAAATGGGGTCAGCCCTACAACCTACACTTCATTGCTTTAGCAACAAAGACAAGCGAATGAGGTTTGTTTTGTTCTGGATGTATAGAAGGGCCCTTCTGAGACATACTTACCCTCAGTCTGTAGTCATCCACAGTCCAGATTCTACTGGCAAAGTCATTGGACGCAGCCAACAAGTAGGAGCCCTGAGACACACAACATCACACAGTTAAACAGTGGAGTGGAAAAGCATCATTGCAGTCAGAAGGTCAGGTAGGTCATTCAATTCTATTTAAAAAACCTAAACTCTGATGCCCACTGAAAATTAAACAAAATCTAGTACAATTTTCAGGTTACAACAGTTCACAAAAGACCAAAGATCTACAGTTGTGACTCCAGCTTAACTTGATGTGCAAGCATCCACAAGCAAAAAACCAACAAGGCAACAGTTCACATGTCGTCCCGCAATTAGTGACAACAATTCAAACGGGCCAGGAGATATGCTTGTTCAAAGTTTGGACTTTTGTAAATGCCAGTGCTCTATGGCAAGATGCATCATTCACCTACGTTTCGTCAAAATTGGGCTAGTGGTGTCAGATATTGCGTGTGACTAACGTACGTACAAACTGAGACGGATCCATAGTCCCCCCTCCGATTTCTATTACTAGCCATGCTACAGGGCAGGGTTGTGGTCAATTCTACTTAGACCTTCAATTTCGTGAAACGGAATTGACCCCAACCCTGCTGCAGAGGCACGAAAGCAGAGATTGCCTGTGACCTGAACAGGGGAAATTAGGGCCACGTCTGAAATGGCAGCCTATTCCCTATATAGTGCACTTCACTGCACTATATAGGGCAGGGTTCCTTTTATTTTATTTATTGTTGGACATAAGACTAAAAACACCAGCAAATCAGCTCCAAGTGATTAAACTTTTGGAAATCTGTACTCTCACGACTAAGAGAAATATATGTGATCGTATACAAATATAAGCAAGTATTATGTTTTAGTCAAATATTGTATCCGTTTGGGCTTCTTGTGGTCAATTTGCAACCTACAAATTATTTGTAATTATGTTCTGGCCCCCTGACCATCGGCTGCATCTAGTTGATGATCCCTGATATAGGGTGACATTTTAGACAGGCTAGGAGATTAAGCAGGATGACACTCACAGCACTGTCAAACTCTATACTGGTGATCCCGGCGTTGCTGCCAGTCAGAGCACCCTTCGGCTCACAGCGACCTGCACACAAGAAGAAAACATGGGGTATTCATTAGTGCACACTGTAGCAAAATGTTTTGCAACGGAAAACGTTTAGCAAGAAAACAAGCCTTTATTGGACAAGTTCAGGTTAGTTCCTTCCCGTTTCCACCCATTTGCTTCAGTTTGGTTCCTAGTGAATACACCACAGAACCATACCCATTCGGTGCCTAAGGAAGTTCTACTCAAATCTTAGAGAGACAAATAAATGGCAGTCAATTTGAAAGGGAGTGACGTCTGGGCCATGATAATTGTAGCACGAGATGGAAAACAAAATGTTTATGGGACGAGTTCAGGTTGTCCCTCCCCGCTTCAGTCAGTTTTCTTTTGGCGGCTAATGAACAAGACCCAGGATAGACTGCTATAATACAGAACAAGGGTATACATTAAAATACACACTGACTGAACACAGACCACCAGTTCAAATGACAAGCTCTAGGGCAGTTCTATGCAGCTGTGGTGAATCATCTGCATTGACATTAGGGGTGTGAACATTTAAACAAAATTTGGCTCCTTAATGTTAAGAGAAATCCCTAACGAATAAACAATGTTTGTTTTCCCCCCCCAAAAAAAATTACAAGCACAGTGCAGCTGGCTTGCCTGCACTTTCTCGTTGCTAATGATGTGAGCGTGTGTTCAGTCTTCGGTCTGTTTCGTGTAGAATATCCTAGCCTATTCATTGATGATAGGCACTGCTTTATTGAAGTTGCAAGACATTGCAAGCCAAGAAATTGCGCAATACAGCATTCCATTGCGAGATACAGCTTTTGATTGCTGATAGTTAGGCCTAGTGCACGGTTCTGACTCAGTCTGCCTGGTGGCCGAACTGCCGATACTGTGTGCCCCCCCCCCCCCCCATGAAAGATGTGTTTGTGTTCTCAGAAGTACGGCAACTAATCAGTCTCCTCCATTCCAAAAATACTGAATCTTAGGAGTCGATTCCTAGCGGACGATTCCTACCAAAGAAGACAAACAATGTCCTTCCCTGACTTTCCCTAAATGTTTGTATTTTACATTGCACATTTTTTAATCATAAACAGAAAAGTATTGAGCCTTTTTACCTATTTTTTCATACCTATTTACAACTTAACCCACCAAGACAATGCGCTGTAGGATGTTAGTACCCAGCCATGCGCTAATGCGTCTCTCTCGCCTCACTGAATGACAAATGGATGAATGGGAAATAATCGTGCATGTTACTTGACAATTGAATTTAAATTAGGGCTAACTGAATGATAAGGAATACCTATTTCTTAGCATTGGCACTCATGTTTATAGCAAATAATTTGCCTTCCGGGTTGATATTGTCTTTTACGTTTAAAATGTGTAAAAATAAGCAGTTACAGGACTGTTTCATTTACTATAACTCTAATACTAATCAAATGTATTGTAAGAGAAACAAAAACATGCTACGTATTGCAGTAGGCCTTTAGAATATTGCAAAACATATCGTTCACTCTATCCAAGTGAGGAGAAGCAAACGATGCCTGTCAGCCTGCGCAGTCAGCCCATCCAAACTACACCGGAACTAATTTCACACATAAGAGCTGGCCTAAAGTCAGCCTGCGCAGTCAGCCCATCCAAACTACACCGGAACTAATTTCACACATAAGAGCTGGCCTAAAGTCAGCCTGCGCAGTCAGCCCATCCAAACCACACCGGAACTAATTTCACACATAAGAGCTGGCCTAAAGTCAGCCTGCGCAGTCAGCCCATCCAAACTACACCGGAACTAATTTCACACATAAGAGCTGGCCTAAAGTCAGCCTGCGCAGTCAGCCCATCCAAACCACACCGGAACTAATTTCACACATAAGAGCTGGCCTAAAGTCAGCCTGCGCAGTCAGCCCATCCAAACTACACCGGAACTAATTTCACACATAAGAGCTGGCCTAAAGTCAGCCTGCGCAGTCAGCCCATCCAAACCACACCGGAACTAATTTCACACATAAGAGCTGGCCTAAAGTCAGCCTGCGCAGTCAGCCCATCCAAACTACACCGGAACTAATTTCACACATAAGAGCTGGCCTAAAGTCAGCCTGCGCAGTCAGCCCATCCAAACTACACCGGAACTAATTTCACACATAAGAGCTGGCCTAAAGTCAAGATTAAATTGACAGTCTGATGAGTGACAATATTAACAGTTGTCAAATTGTACATGAAGAGATGGGCGCAGCTTGGAATTGACAGATGCGGGGAAAGGAGCATCACTATCAAATCCTCCTTCAGAGTCACATGCAGGTAATACGTTTTGATTTCTATATAGTACCAGAAAGAGCATATTCAGCAGTTTCTAATATACTTCCCTTTGTCAAATAACAAAATTCACGAGGTGCAGCTCTGTCCATGCGTTCAGCACATGACCACTCGCATTGTTCTGGCTACTAAGCAAAGGCTAGTAACATAATAAACGTAAAATATGCTATTCAGTTTTTTTTTTATATATTTTTATCTCCACAATGTTTTTTTAGACCTGCAAAAATGAAATAATGGATTTTTCTTTGTGATGGATTTAACTCTTGAACTAGTGGTTTTACGTTTTTACTTCTAGCCTAGAGCAGGGGTAGTCAATTCTTACACTACGAGGTCCGGAGCCTGCTGCTTTTCTGTTCTACTTGATAATTAATTGCACACACACCTGATGTCCCAGGTCTAAATCAGTACCTGATCAGAAGGGAACAATTAAAAAATGCAGTGGAACTGGCTTCGAGGTCCAGAGTTGAGTTTGAGGGGCCTACAGTAACGAACTAATGAAAATGCTATTACGTTCTTTGAAATAATTGTTTTTTTTGTATTCTAATGTTACTTAAGACATTCATAAACACAACCAAATGATTATTCTTCCGATAGCATATATTAAATATATTTATTAGACTGTTAGAATGTTGATGAGTCCTTGGCTGGAAATAGTGTCGAAAATAGGCTATAGGTCTATGTTTTTCACTAGGACTTTATAGAATTATACAAAACATATCCTTCACTATCTAAACAAATAACTATTGTTATATTTTCACATGGATATATTTCCACAAATATTTATTTATGCAATTAATCCTTTGTTTATGCACTATTTGGGCTTATGTTTGCACAGCTTGTGGGTTGATATGCATCTGATGCGTATGCTGAAGGGAACGCACAACATTCTCAACATTCTCTAGCGGGTAATTATAGGCTGAAAGGCATATAACGGAAAAACGAAACAAAAAATTGCTGTTTAACCAGTAAGCAAAATTGTCCATTTGTCACATCCCTAATTGACATACTCCCGTTTGGTGCGCTCTAATCATGCTCCTTTTATGAAGGTCTCAGCTTGAAAACTTGAGATCATCTACCTATCCCAATCCCACACCCCCAAAACTCCTTAGTGATTGGTCATGTTGGATGTCCATCATCACTGTGACGCCTTGGTCTCTTACAGACACAGGATGTGAGGTCATCCTCTCTGTCAGCAGCCCCTGTGGCCAACGACGCACAACTAGAGCATGCTGGTAGTAGAGCAGGGGCTGCTGGGAGCCGAAGGGGACAATGGGAAGGGACTTGGGCAATCAGACCTTTTACATCTCATCATTGACCTCCAGATCTACAAAAGTCACACACACCAGTCAGACACTTTCCTCATACAAAGACCCTAGCCCTGTTTGAATACACAAGAAATGCACCTTCCTTCCTCTCCTTGAAGAAATTGCAAATCTGACAGTATAATTGGCGAAAAAACCACGGGCTGGAAACCATGTTCTTACCTATCCAATCGTATTCAAAATCAGTGATTACCTCAAGGAAAGCAGGAGGGAAGCATTTTGAAGGTTTTCGAGCAGGGCCAGACATACATACTGTGACGTCACGTACCTGAGACCACCTCCCACAGTTTGACCCTGCGGTCCATCCCTCCGGTGGCCAGGAGTCGGGAGCCTGGGCTGAACCGCACCGCATTCACCTCCCCGTCATGGGCTTCCTGAACAGACAAATGCCACACACAGTGGGTGACCAGAGGTCATCAGCGTCACCGTGTCAATGTGGGCACATATGCAACTGAAAACGTTTCAAAAGGGGTTTGCGACAGAAAACAAGATCTTATTTGACGATTTCTTCCATTTGGTGCATAATGAATACAAATCGGGTTAACACAGTAAATACAGGTGGTGACTGAAGATACAGAGGTAGTTTTTAAAACACAAACAAATATCATAAACACTTTCTCAATTGGTGCACAGCTCCTTTGAAAGCCCATAAAACCAATTTAAGTATTTTTCTTTCTCTCTTGCATCTTTTTTCTGAAGTTTAGGTCTCAACCTGAAAACTTGAGATCTACCAATCCCACACCCCGATACTCCTTGGTGATTGGTCATGTTGGATGTCCGTCATCACTGTGATGCCTTGGTCTCTTACAGACACAGGATGTGAGGTCATCCTCTCTGTCAGCAGCCCCTGTGGCCAATGATGCACAACTAGTGCATGCTGGGAGTAGAGCAGGGGTTGCTGGGAGCAGAGGGGACAATGGGAAGGGACTTGGGAAATCAGACCTTTCACATCTCATCACTGACCTTCAGCACCTGACCTAAAAAAGGCTCCCGTCTTTCGTGAAAATGAGTGTGTGTGCGAGAGTGAGAGCGAGAGCTGGCCTGATCTCAAAACACATTGTGTGTAGGAGAATGAAACGAAGATACTTACAAATACGTGGAGGGCCGTGGAGGGAACACGGACATCGGCACACACTCCGGAGGGGGTCTCTGTGTTTTCAGGTGACGTTCCGTGCCAGTTCCCAGGACGACGTCTGCCAACAGAGATGCGAGCTGTCAATCAATCCAGTCAGATTATCACGCATGTTTGAGATTGACTACATTGCAGTCGGTCTGCTCAGAACTGCTGATCTACAATTCACCTCGCATCCCAAATGACTTGACTACCCATTATGTGATTGAGATAGGCAATTCTGCACTATCGCCCAAACTAGTAATCACCTCAAATGCGCAATAAAAAAAAAAAAACATTCTGAGGAGTCGAAATACAACCATAGCGCAACATGCAATGGTCCCAGGGAAGCCAGTGCATGATCAGAAAGCAGAGCTATGGGAGAGGGAAGAAGTCAAGGAAATCTTGTCAGGAAGCAAATGGAAGCCAGGGATTTCTAGGATCACAAATCAGTTGCCGCTAACGGCCAAACTACACTGCAAGCGTCACATAGCTGAAACGGTCCCACTTGTAACCAACGAGACATGCAGAAGCAACTCACAACTGGCTCACACTTTATTTTAATCTCGGTTTTTACACCGACGGAAAACGCAACGCTTGCAAGGTAGTTTCGGAGTAAATCCACACAGGAAATCCTTCAACCATCAAACTAGGTTACATACTATAGCCAATACGCTATAGCCAAGTGTCATGGTAGCTAGCAAAATAGTGTAGGAGCAGTTGCCAACTGTAAACAACTTTACTAGCTAACCATCATGGAGTGAAACAATTCACTTAATTACAGTAAGCCAACAAGGCACCGCTCTTTGTTAGTTAACGTAATGCTGCCTCAAACTGATAAGATAAATATCTTTGAAGTTACCATGGTATAGACTTGACATCTAACAACCCATATTAATGTTTATATTTAAATTAATTAAGAAATATATATATTTTACTGCTTATCAAAGTTAACTGGCTAACTTAATGATCCTGCTTTATGGAACACCCTTAAGTCTCCAGGCTTGTTTGCATTTTACATACCGGTATAAGGGGGGAAAATCACAAACACAAAGACGCAGGCGCTTTGAAAAGCATGTCAGTATGTGGTAGACTTATTAGAGGGAACACTTTGGAATGATAAAACCAGTTACCCCATTCACATTAGATGGAATTAGGAAGAGGTGAGTTCCGACTCCTTTGTTTCCACAGAATTGATGAATTAGCTTTGGAACAACTTCCAAACTTCTAAATCCTGGCAAAAATAGGATTTGAAAAAAGCAATTTAATTACTAATGAAGCAATAGTTATGTTAGAGACCCCGTTTTAAATCAATCGATCAGTTTAAGATTTGCCACTGTCATTCCCAGATTTAAATCCCACGTAGGAAACAAAAGATCTGACCAAGTGTGTTAATTTGTTTTCAGTGAGAATCCAAATGTAAATAGTGCCATCATCATGGATTATTTTTTGTAGCGACATCAAGATGCCTCCTCTAACACGCACATACACACAGGCCCACACACACATCTGTGAGCCCTACAGACACCACAGTGACGTTTCACCTGGAGTCTGGAGGGAGGAGTCCAGGCTGCACAGACTCAGACACGCTGCAGACAGACAGACAGAGAGAAGCCATCATCAACAGGATGGACACACACAACCAGAGAGGATCCACATGGGAACCACAGTAACATCAGGGAAAACGTTTGAAAATGTAATGCAACAGAAAACGAAAATGAGCCTGTCCAGAGGTGCATTCATTAATGCACACTGTAGCAATACTTTTTGCAACGGAAACAAGCGTTTTTTTGGGGGAGGGACACATTTAAGTTAGTCCCGCACTGTTTCGGCCTGTTTGCTACTTAGTGAATACACCCCTAGTAGTCAATCCCCGTTTCAGTCGGTTCTCTTCCGTTTGGTGCCTTATGAACACATCCCAGGACAGACGACCAGACAGACACCCATAGAGTGGGAGGCATCAGCCACACAGAGAACCAAGCAAATGCGTACCTACCCAAATATGTTGGAGATTGAGTCCAACAGGCCGCTTTGAGGAGGCTGTCCGGAGATACGTTTACTACGAGAGAGGAAGACCGAGAGGAGGGTTATTTCATATGCGACGCAACACCTCTGCCAACAATATACGGCCTGGTCCAGAAATGTCTCTAGCCCCAACTTTCTAAGCACTTGTGTAGATTTGAAAAGATTCGATAGATAAACCAGACCTGGGTTCAAATACCATTTAGGGTTGTTCAATTATTTTCATAGACATTTGGAAGTAAGTATTTGTATTATATACAGTACCAGTCAAAAGTTTGGACACACCTACTCATTAAAGCGTTTCTTTATTTTTACTATTTTCTACATTGTAGAATAATAGTGAAGACATCAAAACTATGAAATAACACATATGGAATCATGTAGTAACCAAAAGTGTTAAACAAATCAAAATATATTTTGTATTTGAGATTCTTCAAATAGCCACCCTTTGCCTTGACAGCTATGCACACTTGGCATTCTCTCAACCAGCTTCATGAGGTAGAAAACTGGAATGCATTTAAATTAACAGGTGTGCTTTGTTAAAAGTTAATTTGTGGAATTTAATGCATTTGAGCCAATCAGTTGTGTTGTGACAAGGTAGGGGTGGTATACAGAAGATAGCCCTATTTGGTAAAAGACCAAGTCCATATTATGGCAAGAACAGCTAAAATAAGCAAAGAGAAACGACAGTCCATCATTACTTTAAGACATGAAGGTCAGTCAATCCGGGAAACTTCAAGAACTTTGAAAGTTTCTTCAAGTGCAGTCGCAAAAACCATCAAGCGCTATGATGAAACTGGCTCTCATGAGGACCGCCACAGGAAAGGAAGACCCAGAGTTACCTCTGCTGCAGAGGAAAAGTTCATTAGAGTTAACTGCACCTCAGATTGCAGCCCAAATAAATGCTTCAGAGTTCAAGTAACAGACACATCAACCGCAACTGTTCAGAGGAGACTGTGTGAATCAGGCCTTCATGGTCGAATTGCTGCAAAGAAACCACTACTAAAAGGACACCAATAAGAAGAAGAGACTTGCTTGGGCCAAGAAACACGAGCAATGGACATTAGACCGGTGGAAATGTGTCCTTTGGTCTGATGAGTCCAAATTTGAGATTTTTGGTTCTAACGCAGAGTAGGTGAACGGATGATCTCCGCATACAGTGAGGGAAAAAAGTATTTGATTGATTTTGTATGTTTGCCCACTGACAAAGAAATGATCAGTCTATAATTTTAATGGTAGGTTTATTTGAACAGTGAGAGACAGAATAACAACAAAATGCATGTAAAAAATGTTATAAATTGATTTGCATTTTAATGAGGGAAATAAGTATTTCACCCCCTCTCAATCAGAAAGATTGCAGAGGGGTCAAATACTTATTTCCCTCATTAAAATGCAAATCAATTTATAACATTTTTTACATGCGTTCTTCTGGATTTTGTTGTTGTTATTCTGTCTCTCACTGTTCAAATAAACCTACCATTAAAATTAGATACTGATCATGTCTTTGTCAGTGGGCAAACGTACAAAATCAGCAGGGGATCAAATACCTTTTCCCCCTCACTGTATGTGGTTCCCACCGTGAAGCACGGAGGAGGAGGTGTGATGGTGACACTGTCAGTGATTTATTTAGAATTAAAGGCACACTTAACCAGCATGGCTACCACAGCATTCTGCAGTGATACGCCATCCCATCTGGTTTGCGCTTAGTGGGGCCATAATTTGTTTTTCAACAGGACAATGACCCAAAACAAACCTCCAGGCAGTGTAAGGGCTATTTGACCAAGAAGGAGAGTGATGGAGTGCTACATGAGATGATCTGGCCTCTACAATCACCCGACCTCAACCCAATTGAGATGGTTTGGGATGAGTTGGACCACAGAGTGAAGGAAAAGCAGCCAACAAGTGCTCAGCATATGTGGGAACTCCTTCAAGACTGTTGGAAAAGCGATCCTCATGAAGCTGGTTGAGAGAATGCCAAGAGTGTGCAAAGCTGTCATCAATGCAAAGGGTGGCTACTTTGAAGAATCTCAAATATAAAATATATTTTGATTTGTTTAACACTTTTTTGGTTACTACATGATTCCATGTGTTATTTCATAGTTTTGATGTCTTCACTATTTATACTACAATGTAGAACATTTAAAAAATAAAGAAAACCCCTTCAATGAGTAGGTGTGTCCAAACTTTTGACTGGTACAGTATATATTTATTTTAATTAAAGTAGAAAATACACAGAGTATTTTCAAATACAACAAATAAATACTCCCATGCATTTGAACCCAGGTCTGTATGGTATTTGAAATAATGAATTTGGAAATAAGTATTTGGAAAATACTTCCAATAGAAGTAGTTAATTCGGGCCATTTATTTGAAAATACTAAAATACACAGAAAATAAGTACTTAATGAACAAATAATTTGAACCCAAGTCTGGTATAAACAACATGCAGATTGGCGAAGATTTCACCCAAGCCTTCCATAGGGCAAGGTGGAGCTACTTCCATTGTTTAGATCTATCCAATTCTTACAGATCTACATCAAGTGTTCCTTGACAACACAAAAATTCCTTGATGCCCTTCCAGACTCCTTCTGCCTACCCAAGGACGTCAGAGGAAAAAAATCAGTTAACCACTTAACTGAGGAACTCAATTTAACCTTGCGCAATACCCTAGATGCAGTTGCACCCCTAAAAACGAAAAACATTTGTCATAAGAAACTAGCTCCCTGGTATACAGAAAATACCCGAGCTTTGAAGCAAGCTTCCAGGAAATTGGAACGGAAATGGCGCCACACCAAACTGGAAGTCTTCCGACTAGCTTGGAAAGACAGTACCGTGCAGTACCGAAGAGCCCTCACTGCTGCTCGATCATCCTACTTTTCCAACTTAATCGAGGAAAATAAGAATAATCCTGAATTTCTTTTTGATACTGTTGCAAAGCTAACTAAAAAGCAGCATTCCCCAAGAGAGGATGGCTTTCACTTCAGCAGTAATAAATTCATGAACTTCTTTGAGGAAAAGATCATGACCATTAGAAAGCAAATTACGGACTCCTCTTTGAATCTGCGTATTCCTCCAGGGCTTAGCTGTCCTGGATCTGCACAGCTCTGCGAGGGCCTGGGATCGGGAGAGACACTTAAGTGTTTTAGTACTATATCTCTTGACACAATGATGAAAATAATCATGGCCTCTAAACCTTCAAGCTGCATACTGGATCCTATTCCTACTAAACTGCTGAAGGAGCTGCTTCCTGTGCTTGGCCCTCCTATGTTGAACATAATAAACAGCTCTCTATCCACCGGATGTGTACCAAACTCACTAAAAGTGGCAGTGATAAAGCCTCTCTTGAAAAAGCCAAACCTTGACCCTTGAAAAAGCCAAACCTTGACCCGGAAAATATAAAAAACTATCGGCCTATATCGAATCTTCCATTCCTCTCAAAAATTTTAGAAAAAGCTGTTGCGCAGCAACTCACTGCCTTTCTGAAGACAAACAATGTATACGAAATGCTTCAGTCTGGTTTTAGACCCCATCATAGCACTGAGACTGCACTTGTGAAGGTGGTAAATGACCTTTTAATGGCGTCAGACCGAGGCTCTGCATCTGTCCTCGTGCTACTAGACCTTAGTGCTGCCTTTGACACCATCGATCACCACATTCTTTTGGAGAGACTGGAAACCCAAATTGGTCTACACGGACAAGTTCTGGCCTGGTTTAGATCTTACCTGTCGGAAAGATATCAGTTTGTCTCTGTGAATGGTCTGTCCTCCGACAAATCAACTGTACATTTCGGTGTTCCTCAAGGTTCCGTTTTAGGACCACTATTGTTTTCACTATATATTTTACCTCTTGGGGATGTTATTCGAAAACATAATGTTAACTTTCACTGCTATGCGGATGACACACAGCTGTACATTTCAATGAAACATGGTGAAGCCCCAAAATTGCCCTCGCTAGAAGCCTGTGTTTCAGACATAAGGAAGTGGATGGCTGAAAACTTTCTACTTTTAAACTCGGACAAAACAGAGATGCTTGTTCTAGGTCCCAAGAAACAAAGAGATCTTCTGTTAAATCTGACAATTCATCTTGATGGTTGTAAAGTCGTCTCAAATAAAACTGTGAAGGACCTCGGCGTTACTCTTGACCCTGATCTCTCTTTTGACGAACATATCAAGACTGTTTCAAGGACAGCTTTTTTCCATCTACGTAACATTGCAAAAATCAGAAATTTTCAGTCCAAAAATGATGCAGAAAAATTAATCCATGCATTTGTTACTTCTAGGTTAGACTACTGCAATGCTCTATTTTCCGGCTACCCGGATAAAGCACTAAATAAACTTCAGTTAGTGCTAAATACGGCTGCTAGAATCCTGACTAGAACCAAGAAATTTGATCATATTACTCCAGTGCTAGCTTCCCTACACTGGCTTCCTGTTAAGGCAAGGGCTGATTTCAAGGTTTTACTGTTAACCTATAAAGCGTTACATGGGCTTGCTCCTACCTATCTTTCCGAGTTGGTCCTGCCGTACATACCAATACGTACGCTACGGTCACAAGACGCAGGCCTCCTAATTGTCCCTAGAATTTCTAAGCAAACAGCGGGAGGCAGGGCTTTCTCCTATAGATCTCCATTTTTATGGAACAGTCTGCCTACCCATGTGAGAGACGCAGACTCGGTCTCAACCTTTAAGTCTTTACTGAAGACTTATCTCTTCAGTAGGTCATATGATTGAGTGTAGTCTGGCCCAGGAGTGTGAAGGTGAACGGAAAGGCTCTGGAGCAACGAACAGCCCTTGCTGTCTCTGCCAGGCCGGTTCCCCTCTCCACTGGGGTTCTCTGCCTCTAACCCTGTTGCAGGGGCTGAGTCACTGGCTTGCTGGTGCTCTTTCATGCCGTCCCTGGGAGGGGTGCGTCACTTGAGTGGGTTGAGTTACTGACGTGATCTTCCTGTCTGGGTTGGCGCCCCCCCCCTGGTTTGTGCTGTGGTGGAGACCTCTGTGGGCTATACTCGGCCTTGTCTCAGGATTGTAAGTTGGTGGTTGAGGATATCCCTCTAGTGGTGCGGGGGCTGTGCTTTGGCAGAGTGGGTGGGGTTATATCCTTCCTGTTTGGCCCTGTCCGGGGGTTTCTTCGGATGGGGCCACAGTGTCTCCGGACCGCTCCTGTCTCAGCCTCCAGTATTTATGCTGCAGTAGTTTATGTGTCGGGGGGCTGGGGTTAGTTGGTTATACCTGGAGTACTTCTCCTGTCTTATCCAGTGTCCTGTGTGAATTTAAGTATGCTCTCTCTAATTCTCTCGTTCTCTCTTTCTCTCTGAGAACCTGAGCCCTAGGACCATACGTCAGGACTACCGGGCATGATGACACCTTGCTGTCCCCAGTCCGCCTGGCCTTGCTGCTATTCCAGTTTCAACTGTTCTGCCTGCGGTTACGAAACCCCTACCTGTCCCAGACCTGCTGTTTTCAACTCTTAATGATCGGCTATGAAAAGCCAACTGAGAGACCTGAGCCCTAGGACCATACGTCGGGACTACCGGCCGTGGTGACTCCTTGCTGTCCCCAGTCCGCCTGGCCTTGCTGCTATTCCAGTTTCAACTGTTCTGCCTGCGGTTATGGAACCCCTACCTGTCCCAGACCTGCTGTTTTCAACTCTTAATGATCGGCTATGAAAAGCCAACTGAGATTTATTCCTGATTATTATTTGACCATGCTTGTCACTTATGAACATTTTTGAACATCTTGGCATGGTTCTGTTATAATCTTCACCCGGCACAGCCAGAAGAGGACTGGCCACCCCTCATAGCCTGGTTCCTCTCTAGGTTTCTTCCTAGGTTTTCGCCTTTCTAGGGAGTTTTTCCTAGCCACCGTGCTTCTACACCTGCATTACTAGCTGTTTGGGGTTTTAGGCTGGGTTTCTGTACAGCACTTCGAGATATTAGCTGATGTAAGAAGGGCTATATAAAATAAAATTGATTGATTGATTGATTGATAGGGGCCGTTTCTGGACTTGGTTTCACTAAGAACATGTTTGAGTCACACTCCCACCTTGGGGTGCGGCTGAGCGGCCGGTTGGGAGAGTCCTCTCCAGTGCCCTTCCCAGAATCCTCAGCTAGAACCTCGATGTCGTCGTCGCTGAGGACAGGAGAACAGAAAAGTCATAACCACCAACACTAGGGGTGAGTCTCAATTGTATTTCCATGATCCCTCACGTCCTCTCTCCTTACTAACTGTGTAGTGATAAACATTTTAATATTCAAATGCATTTTGAGTGGAGTTAGCCTGCCCCGGAAAAGGTTAGAGGTGAAGCATTCCTTGCCATAGAAATGTACCTGACTAAAAGGTGAGCCAGCTTCGTGTCAACGGTTATCCCCAGTTGAGCTCAGAACTGACCAGTTTAGCTCACTAACTCCTCTCTCCTGCTTCGTAGTATATCCCTCTGCTCAGAGCAGACTTTGTGGTTCTACGGTAAATAGTACTCACGGGTCCATGGGCAGGGGCTCCTTCGCAGCATCTGCGAGCTCTTTCTGAAGCTTGGCTTGTCTGCGCCTGGAACAATAAGCACAACAAAAAAACATAAAATGCACCCATTACTGGATTGCACAGCAACCTAACACTTATTTGGAAGGTTTTACTTAAAATGAAGGTGACGTGGTCGTTTTGCCTACTTTAGTTGAATCCATTGATTACTACTTTCTCCGGATAAGAGCGTCTGCTACATGATTAAAATACAGAATATACTAAAATTGCATGCAGGCCACTTGGGGGCACCTAGACGATCGATCACTGAGCCACAACTGGGTCGCCAAGCCTTCTCAGCTCCAAGCCAGCCACCTAGTTACTCCATACGCCTTCATCACACTATAAGATATGCTACAACTACAGCCGAGTCAAGCCGTGCCACCCTGGTTCGCTCACTTGTAGAGTTCACGAGGTACCAGTATGAAGACAAAGATTTTTCCCTAGCAAAAACCCTCAATAAAACACTAGAACCAGACTAAACTATATGGTCCTTTGAAAACCTGCATTATGTAAAATATGGAGTGCTAAATCTTGGAATAAATAAATGTGACTCAGTGACAACATAAGGCTCTTTGTTTCCAACATTAGGGCAGTTTTCCTGAAGAAATGGAATCTGCTCATGTTTTGTTTCTATGCCATGATACTTCCTGGTATCGTGATCGCCGGTATCATGACAACCCTACTCACTTGCAGTCTTTCTCGTTTTCTGCATTGAGTTTGTTGGCCTCTTGGGATTTCTCGGCCATCCAGCGAGACACCAGCTCCTGGTTGTCATCGGTGGTGCGCCGCAGCTTCTCCTCCAGAGCACCGAAGGTGATTTGAAGGGCGTCGTACTCGTCCTTCAGCGTCTGGTTGGCCTGCTCCAGGTCCTGTAGCTGGCCACGCAGGTCCCGGCACTCACCCTCCAGCTCGGCGATCTGCCGCTGGTATTCCTGCATCCTGGCAGATGCGATTGGCAGAACAATTCATTCATATCAGGGGGAAAAGGAGGAACGCTGATTTGGGCTGGGTCAATTGCAATGTGTATCAATGTAATAATGTATATAGGATGGTCAGAAATCCCTGATTCATCAGGAAGAAATCAAACCTCTAGTTCATGGGGATGAGGGAATGACATCAGTAGGTAACAATATTGCAAATAGCTGGAGTGTTGGAACGTACAAATGGACCATCAATCACACTCATAACAGGTAGAGTAGACTCACTTGGCTTCATTGCTCTGAATCTCCTTGTCCTTCTGCTGAATCTGGTGGTTGAGCTCAATAACACTCTGGGCCAGCTACACAAAAACAGAGAGAAGAGGAGAAAGACATTCAGTCAAAACATCCACAACTGAGGGCAAGTTGGTTACAAACAAACCAGAGGATAAACCAAAAAAAATGGAGAGTCCAGACCTTGCTCCAACTGACCTAGTTCCAGCCGACCAACCGTAGTATGCACTATAGATATTGTCTGGTCCAAAACGTCATATTTGAGAAACAAGCTTACTTTCAAATTTCACCCTTTTGATTGATCATGACTCATGATCAAGAGTAATCCTTTATTTTCAGCCATCAGTCACTGCATCTTTGAGGACAGGGCAACAGAGGTCTTGTGAGTGATAAGGCAATGAGGCCCATGAGATACTCAAAAACAGTGGAGCCTTTGATTCTTGTCCTCTGTCCCACCCCCAGTGATGTAGTGGAGGGTATACACAGGTGCATTTTCAGTGGGCATTGCGTATCCTCACTACTCCATCCCCACAAAGCTTCAAAGTAGTGTAGGTACAGACCGGAAGTAGAGGCCTGGGCGTTGTTGTTCACTAATTTACTAGGGAAAGGATGGTGGGGTTGAAAAGTAATAAAGGGGAATATATATATAAAAAATAAAAATAAACATGGGGGATTGGAAGTGATGCAGACAATTACATTGATAGAAGATACAATCTATCTGCAATATTAAGCTGATCCATTCCCCCCCCCAAAAAAAAGTAGTGTAGGTACTGTATATGACGTATCAATTAATAAAGGCTGATGGAACAGATCAGAATGTTTCTTAATTTTTTATAAACTATTATTTCTTCACATTTTAAGCGCAGCAATGTGCAAATTTTTTATTTCATATTTATTTAACCAGGTAAGACCCATTGAGGTTGAAAACTGCCTTTGCAAGGGTGACCTGGAAAGAAGGCAAAACAGGGAAATAGCAGCGTGTACATAAATACATAAACAAAATATACACACAAAAGTCAAAGTGTCACAAGTTCCAGATACACTTGAAGATTAGAAACAACTGCAGCTATCACAGTGTTGTTGCTCAGAGTCTTAAAAACAGGCAAGGACACCAACTCCCCTAACTTTAATATATTTTGAAGCATGTTCCCGGATGAAGGGGCATTAGAAACAGACAAGGACAGCAGCGACCGTGAACGAAGACTGTATTGAGTGACTGATCTGATCAGTAAGGAACAGAGATACAAAGGGAGTTGCCCGATCAATGCTTTGTACACAAGTGTACCAGTGCTTTAGCCTCCTGGTGGAAAGAGAGGTCCATTGCACCTTGGCATACAAATCGCAGTGATAGGCGAGTGATCATTTGTAATAAATCTCAAAGCACCATGAGACACTGTTCCCAGAGTTGTTAAGGTTCTTGCTGAGGCACATAAACAATATCACCATAATCCAGCACCGATAAAAAATAGTGCTTTGAACAAGATCCTTTCTGACTAACATTGAAAAGCAAGATTTGTTCCTAAAATAGAAACCCAATTTCAACTTCAGTTTCTTGGTGAAGTTATCAATGTGCTGTTTAAAATTAAGCTTTTCAACTAACCATATCCCAAAATACTTATTAGGAGGTGACCCTATCAATTTGCTACCCTTTTAGAGATCAAATCTGCAAGTGACTCCATATGTCTACTTTCAGAGAAGAGAAACCCACACTTTGTTTCTCGCATTAAGCACAAGTTTCAATTCGAAAAGTTGCCTTTGAACAGCATCAAAAGTCAACTAAGTCCTGAAAAGCCTTATCAATATTAGATGCGCTACAATAAATAATTGTGTCATCAGCATACAGATGGAGAATTGCAGTCAGTCTTCCACTATATCATTTATATACCGTGTAATAAGGATCGGAACTAAAACTGAGCCCTGGGGAACTCCTTTCGTAAGCCTTCGAAACTCAGATTTCATAACCTCCTGTGCAACACACTGTTCTGTCAGAAAGGTAGTTTTGGAACCAATCCAATGCATCAACACTTAAACTAACCTTATTTAGTCAATACAACAGCAGGGCATGGTCAACAGTGTCGAAGGCCTTCGATAAGTCAATAAAAAGGTGTGACGTAGGCTGCTTTCCAGACTTTTGGAATGGTATTACTCGCCAATTAAATATATATGAGGGAGAGGGGCAGCAGTTATCTCTGCACCAATTTTTTGAAAATAAGGGTTCAATTCATCCGGGCCAGACGCTTTCTTAATATCAATAGATTCGAGTGCATTTACAACTTCTGAAAGCTCAATCTTGGTCAAATTAAATAGATTAACCATAGGCCGGCATGCGGCAGTTTCATTCACAGCCTCATTCGAGATGTTAGGAAGGAGTTCATTATCAAATAAATGCCCAGCCTAAGCAAAATGCTCATTAAGCATGTCAAGCAGTTTATTCTTGTCAGTCACAACCATTGAATTTAAGGTCAACTTCAGCAGAAGACCATAGGAGTTCGAGTTAGCATTCATGGATTTAATGGTTTTTCCATAATTTCGTCGGGTTATTGAGGTTTGCCTTGGTTGATTCGTAATAGAAGCTAGATTTGCATTTCCGTATTAACAAGGTGCACTTATTTCTCAGTGCCCTGAATAACTGCCATTTGCCTTGGAATTAAACTTTCCGGCTTTGGCCCATTGTGTATTTCGTTTATGGATCAAATCAGATAAACCAGGGATTGTCTCTACCTCTTACCCTGTACTTTTTGAGAGGGGCGTGTTTATCACAGATAGTAGAAAACATGGCATGAAAATAGGAGAATGCCTCCTCGATGTCCGGAATAAGCGCAATCCTATCCCAGTTGCATGCATAAAGTTCATGCAGGAATGCCTGCTCACAGAACTGCGCAACATTTTAATTGACTATGAACCGAGGGGGCACTTAGGTGATTTTAGTGTCTCTAATGCAAGCAACTGCAATCACTTAAATCATTAGGGAAAATACCAATGGCCGAGTATTTATGCAGATTGTTAGTTAAAATAACATAAATAAGTGTTGACTTAGAGATGTCTTTTGGATTCAGTCTTGTGACTGCATTTATCATTTTAGTAAAATTCAGTGTATTGCACTGTCCTCATATGGCCTTGGAGTTTGAAGAACCAGCACCATTTCATTTTCCCCCCAACCACGCATCAGTTCAGCCAGAGAATCCAGGGATTCTACTTTTTGCAGATGGAGGTCTATAACATCCTATTAAATCTAAGTTCACAGCTTTCAATAACTGCCGTTTCAATGATAAAAACTCACTGTTTTGGTTTTTATAAAGACCTTAGTTCAGTAACCATTTGCAGTGCATTCAGAAAGTATTCAGCCCCCAAAACTTTTTCCACATTTTGTTACAGCCTTATTCTAAAATGGACTAAATTAATTTCTCCTCAATCTACACACAATACCCATAATGACAAAGAAAAAACTGGTTTTGAAATTTTTGCAAACGTACTAAAAATAAAAAACAGAAAAAACTTTACATAAGTATTCAGACCATTTGCTATGAGAATCAGAATTGAGCTCAGGTGCATCCTGTTTCCCCTGATCATCCTTGAGATGTTTCTACAACTTGATTGGAGTCCACCTGAGGTAAATTCAATTGATTGGACATGATTTGGAAAGGCACACACACCCCTGTCTATATAAAAAGGTCCCACAGATGACAGTGCATGTCAGAGCAAAAACATTTACATTTTTACATTTTAGTCATTTAGCAGACGACCTTATCCAGAGCGACTTACAGAATAAATTAGGGTTAAGTGCCTTGCTTAAGGGCACATCGACAGATTCTTCACCTAGTCGGCTCGGGGATTAGAACCAGCAACCTTTCGGTTACTGGCACAACGCTCTTAACCACTAAGCTACCTGCCGCCCCAAAAACCAAGCCATGAGGTCGAAGGAATTGTCCGTAGAGCTCCGAGACAGGATTGCGTCGAGGCACAGATCTGGGGAAGTGTACCAAAAAAATGTATGCAGCATTGAAGGTCCCCAAGAACACAGTGGCCTCCATTCTTAAATGGAAGAAGTTTGGAACCACCAAGACTCTTCCTAGAGCTGGCCAACCCGGCCAAACTGAGCAATCAGGGGAGAAGGGTCTTGGTCAGGGAGGTGACCAAGAACCCGATGGTCACTCTGACAGAGCTCTAGAGTTCCTCTGTGGAGATGAGAGAATCTTCCAGGACGACAACCATCTCTGCAGCACTCCACCAATCAGGCCTTTATGGTAGAGTGGCCAGACGGAAGCCACTCCTCAGTAACAGGCATATGACAGCCAGTTCTGATTTTTTTCAGTGGCAGGGACTGGGAGACTAGTCAGGATGGAGGGAAAGATGAACAGAGCAAAGTACAGAGAGATCCTTGATGAAAACCTGCTCCAGCTTCCAACAGGACAATGACCCTAAGCACACAGCAAAGACAACGCAGGAGTGGCTTCGGGACAAGTCTCTGAATGTCCTTGAGTGGCCCAGCCAGAGCCCGGACTTGAACCCGATCTAACATCTCTGGAGAGACCTGAAAATAGCTGTGCAGCGATGCTCCCCATCCAACCTGACAGAGCTTGAGAGGATCTGCAGAGAAGAATGGGAGAAACTCCCCAAATACAGGTGTGCCAAGCTTGTAGCATCATACCCAAGAAGACTCAAGGCTGTAATCGCTGCCAAAGGTGCTTCAACAAAGTACTGAGTAAAAGGTCTGAATACTTATGTAAATGTGATATTTCAAAATGTTCTAAAAACCTGTTTTTGTTCCGTCATTATGGGGTATTGTGTGTAGAGTGATGAGAAAATAAATAATTTAATCCATTTTAGAATTAGGCTGTAACGTAACAAATTGTGGAAAAAGTCAAGGGGTCTGAATACTTTCTGAACGCACTGTATCAGTCTTTAATATAAAATGGCTATACCTCCCCCTTACTTCGTCGATCACATCGATAAACATATCTATCCAAGCCTATAGACTGGTATACAACAGATTTCTTAAGCCAGGTCTCAGACAGAACTAAGACATCTGGGTCAAATCAAATCAAATTTTATTGGTCACATGCGCCGAATACAACAGGTGCAGACATTACAGTGAAATGCTTACTTACAGCCCTTAACCAACAGTGCATTTATTTTAAACAAAAAAAGTAAAAATAAAACAACAAAAAAAAGTGTTGAGAAAAAAAAGAGCAGAAGTAAAAATCAAGTGACAGTAGGGAGGCTATATATACAGGGGGGTACCGGTGCAGAGTCAATGTGCGGGGGCACCGGCTAGTTGAGGTAGTTGAAGTAATATGTACATGTGGGTAGAGTTAAAGTGACTATGCATAAATAATTAACAGAGTAGCAGCAGCGTAAAAAGGATGGGGTGGGGGGGGCAGTGCAAATAGTCCGGGTAGCCATGATTAGCTGTTCAGGAGTCTTATGGCTTGGGGGTAGAAGCTGTTGAGAAGTCTTTTGGACCTAGACTTGGCACTCCGGTACCGCTTGCCGTGCGGTAGCAGAGAGAACAGTCTATGACTAAGGTGGCTGGAGTCTTTGACAATTTTTAGGGCCTTCCTCTGACACCGCCTGGTATAGAGGTCCTGGATGGCAGGAAGCTTTGCCCCAGTTATGTACTGGGCCGTACGCAGTGTGAACCCATTTTCAGCTTCAGACTCCTCACATTAATATGCATCAGTCCCAACCCTGATCTAGTTTTCAAATCATTTGGGGTCGGAAGTTCCTCCATAGCCAACGGGCCTGGGTTTGTGAGAACGTTTCACGACACCAAAAGCAGAATAATAAAACACCTTGATTTGTTGCTTCCTAAAATCGCTCTACACTAATTGATTAAAAATAACAGTTTTTAACCAGACCAAACCCTCAAGATGAGAAAGTTATGAGCATGTCACAGTAGGAATTAAATTGTAACACAATCAGACCCCTCTGAAAGATAAAAGCTCCTGTACCATCAGTCAAAGTAGGGTTTGGCGGTATCTCTGGTACAGAGATTAGATTAAATTATTAAAAACAGACTACGCAATGAGCCATAACCCATGTAGGCAGCAATTAAAACCATGTGTACAAAAATACCCATTTTAACCACTGAATCCAACAATTCACTAGAAAGAAAATATTAAAATATGCTGAGTCAGTCTTTTAAATCTTAAATGCCCTAAAAATGTTCAGCTGTAACCTACAGGTCTAGTAGAGTCAGAAACCAAGTGTGTGCCCGAGCATTGCTGCCTTAATTAGAACACCAGCGCTGCAGTAATGTGCTGACAGGGGATTTTGCCCAGTGTGTGGATCTGGTAAATGCACCCAGTCGCCTTGTAGTAGGCTACCGCACAGTGAGGCAGCAGTGGGCCATGTTGACTGGCCAATCACCGGTGGCGAGTCTACCCGGTGGGGGTATCCTGGGCTGGCAAGCTCAGTGCATCTAAACGTTATGTCAGCGCAGATACCGACCTCCGGCTTCCACCACACAGCACAGCAAGGCAGGAGAGGAGTCAGAGGACTCCGGTACATTGGCGGAACACAGGAAAAACCTTACTGTCGAGGAGTATCCAAGGCTAGTCGGCCCTACGTGTCTAGACAGTCACATCCTCTCTCGGCTTTCAGGGAGGGCAACACACCGGCACTGTCTCCTAATGTCGAAAACAGCAGACGTCACTGCTTGGTTTACTAGCGATTTTAACGCTTTGATCCTGTAGAATTGTGTCTGTTGCTTAAATGACAACTCTCGCAGCCTATAAAAACTTCTAACACTTGATACAAAAAACTGTGACAACACGCTCAGCAGAACTGCCCTGCCGCCATCTTAAACTGATGTTGGCATACAGCCTACATGGTAGGCCTACGCGAATATTGCAATTTGTGGGAAAACACTTCTATGTGGGCGGTTTCATGGACAGTGATTAGAAATGTAGAAAGAGGGGATCTCTAAAAAGACGCAACCACTATCGTGGGTTGCTATGACTAGGATAATGCCTTTGGCTGCTAGAAAATGAAAGAAAGTTGATTTGAAAACTAATAGAACAGGAGAGCGCATGAGGATGTCTTTATAAAATAATTGCCTCCACATTTCTATGGTGGGGTTTTGGCTAGGCTACTTTGCAGCAAGATAAGACATGCCTCATAATATGAAGTAAAACGTCCAGGTTACAAACAAATAAGGAACAGGAAAAATATAGTGATGCTAATGATAGGCCTAACCCTCTTCTGGTAAATGGAAAGGTTTCCCAAAAACCTTCAATAAAATCTTAACTAGCTACAAAGTAGCCTACGCCTACTAGAGTTTATCCAGATTTCTATTTGACGCACAAAACAATTTAGGCAACAGGGATCTTGATCCAGGAGGGGATTGAATGTCTCTGCGGTACCAAGAAGCTTGATCTTGACATCTAGCCACATGAGCAGGATGTAATTTGACACATCTTAGATGTCTTATAGTTACACTTAACTTAGTTATAAGCTGTGGCGAAGCACGCTTATAACTGAATTTCTGACCAAAAAAAAAAAAAAAGAGGACTGAGCACGCCCCCATTTTCATCGACGGGGCTGTAGTGGAACAGGTTGACAGCTTCAAGTTCCTTGGTGTCCACATCACCAACAAACTATCATGGTCCAAACACACCAAGACAGTCGTGAAGAGGGCACGACAAAGCCTATTCCCTCTCAGGAGACTGAAAAGATTTGGCCTCAGATCCTCAAAAAGTTCTACAGCTGCACCATCGAGAGCATCCTGACTGGTTGCATCACCGCCTGGTATGGCAACTGCTCGGCCTCCGACCGCAAGGCACTACAGAGGGTAGTGCGTATGGCCCAGTACATCACTGGGGCCAAGCTTCCTGCCATCCAGGACCTCTATACCAGGCGATGTCAGAGGAAGGCCCTCAAAATTATCAAAGACTCCAGCCACCCTAGTCATAGACTGTTCTCTCTGCTACCGCACGGCAAGCGGTACCAGAGCCTCAAGTCTAGGTCCAAAAGGCTTCTTAACAGCTTCTACCCCCAAGCCATAAGACTCCTGAACAGCTAATCATGGCTACCCAGACTATTTGCATTGCCCCTCCACCCCACCCCCCTCTTTTACGCTGCTGCTACTCTGTTAATTATTTATGCATAGTCACTTTAACTCTACCCACATGTACATATTACCTCAGTTACCTCGACTAACCGGTGCCCCCGCACATTGACTCTGTACCGGTACCCCTGTATATAGCCTCCCTACTGTTATTTTATTTTACTACTGCTCTTTAATTATTTGCTATTTTTATTTTTTCTTAAACTGCATTGTTGGTTATGGGCTTGTAAGTAAGCATTTCACTGTAATGTCTACACCGGTTGTATTCGGCGCATGTGGCAAATCAAATTTGATTTCAGTTGACGGCCTCATTTATCTATTTCAATAGTAGGCCTACTATTATCCTACTGAACAGTACAGCTTGGCTTGGCCTGACAGTGAAACACCAATATGGGATTCATCATTTGTGTTCTTTCAGAGTCACAGAATTTAATCGGTGTTTGAAATTCACTGCTCGACTGAGGGAATTGAACAGATAAAAAGCATGTTGAAAATCATGTCCATGCAGCTCATCGTCGTCCTCACCAGGGTCTTGACCTGACTGCAGTTTGGAGTCGTAACTGACTTCAGAGGACAAATGCTCACCTTCGATGGCAACTGGCACGCTGGAGAAGTGTGCTCTTCACAGATGAATTCAGATTTCAACTGTTCCCGGGCAGATTGCAGACAGCGTGTATGGCGTCGTGTTGGTGAGCGGTTTGCCGATGTCAACGTTGTGAACAGAGTGCCCCATGGTGGCGGTGGGGTTATGGTATGGGTAGGCATAAGCTACGGACAACGAACACAATTGTATTTTATCGATGGTAATTTGAATGCACAGAGATACCGTGACGAGATCCTGAGGCCCATTGTCGTGCCATTCATCCGCTGCCATCACCTCATGTTTCAGCATGACAATGCACGGCCCCATGTCGCAAGGACCTGTACACAATCCTGGAAGTTGAAAATGTCCCAGTTCTTCCATGGCCTGCATACTCACCAGACATTGAGCATGCTAGCATGCTCTGGATCGACGTGTATGACTTCGTGTTCCAGTTCCAGCCAATATCCAGCAACTTTGCACAGCCATTGAAAAGGAGTGGGACAACATTCCACAATCAACAGCCTAAGGAGATGTGTCGCTCTGCATGAAGCAAATTGAGGTCACACCCGATACTGACTGGTTTTCTGATCCACGCCCCTACTTTTTTTTAAAGGTATTATTTCCTTACAGTGAGGGAAAAAAGTATTTGATCCCCTGCTGATTTTGTACGTTTGCCCACTGACAAAGAAATGATCAGTATATAATTTTAAAGGTACGTTTATTTGAACAGTGAGAGACAAAATAACAAACAAAAAAATCCAGAAAAACGCATGTTAAAAATGTTATAAATTGATTTGCATTTTAATGAGGGAAATAAGTATTTGACCCCCTCTCAATCAGAAAGATTTCTGGCTCCCAGGTGTCTTTTATACAGGTAACGAGCTGAGATTAGGAGCACACTCTTAAAGGGAGTGCTCCTAATCTCAGTTTGTTGCCTGTATACAAGACACCTGTCCACAGAAGCAATCAATCAATCAGATTCCAAACTCTCCACCATGGCCAAGACCAAACAGCTCTCCAAGGATGTCAGGGACAAGATTGTAGACCTACACAAGGCTGGAATGGGCTACAAGACCATGGCCAAGCAGCTTGGTGAGAAGGTGACAACAGTTGGTGCGATTATTCGCAAATGGAAGAAACACAACTGTCAATCTCCCTCGGCCTGGAGCTCCATGCAAGATCTCACCTCGTGGAGTTGCAATGATCATGAGAACGGTGAGGAATCAGCCCAGAACTACACGGGAGGATCTTGTCAATGATCTCAAGGCAGCTGGAACCATAGTCACCAAGAAAACAATTGGTAACACTACACCGTGAAGGACTGAAATACTGCAGCGCCCGCAAGGTCCCCCTGCTCAAGAACGCACATATACAGGCCCGTCTGAAGTTTGCCAATGAACATCTGAATGATTCAGAGGAGAACTGGGTGAAAGTGTTGTGGTCAGATGAGACCAAAATCGAGCTCTTTGGCATCAACTCGCCGTGTTTGGAGGAGGAGGAATGCTGCCTATGACCCCAAGAACACCATCCCCACCGTCAAATATGGAGGTGGAAACATTATGCTTTGGGGGTGTTTTTCTGCTAAGGGGACAGGACAACTTCACCACATCAAAGGGACGATGGACAGGGCCATGTACTGCAAATCTTGGGTAAGAACCTCCTTCCCTCAGCCAGGGCATTGAAAATGGCTCATGGATGGGTATTCCAGCATGACAATGACCCAAAACACACGGCCAAGGCAACAAAGGAGTGGCTCAAGAAGAAGCACATTAAGGTCCTGGAGTGGCCGAGCCAGTCTCCAGACCTTAATCCCATAGAAAATCTGTGGAGGGAGCTGAAGGTTCGAGTTGCCAAACGTCAGCCTTGAAACCTTAATGACTTGGAGAAGATCTGCAAATAGGAGTGGGTCAAAATCCCTCCAGAGATGTGTGCAAACCTGGTGGCCAACTACAAGAAACATCTGACCTCTGATTGCCAACAAGGGTTTTGCCACCAAGTACTAAGTCATGTTTAGCAGAGGGGTCAAATACTTATTTCCCTCATTAAAATGCAAATCAATTTATTACATTTTTGACATGCGTTTTTCTGGATTTTGTTGTTGTTATTCTGTCTCTCACTGTTCAAATAAACCTACCATTAAAATTATAGACTGATCATGTCTTTGTCAATGGGAAAACGTACAAAATCAGCAGGGGATCAAATACTTTTTTCCCTCACTGTATATGACCTAAAACTCAATAAAAATGTTAAAATAGTTGCATTTATATTGTTGTTCAGTATATAAAGTGGTTTGTTCATTTAAACCTGTTCTATTTTTGCCTCTGATTCAGGCTGTTTCAAACCCCAACGACATAAACAAACAATTATCAACGACTTCCCTTTGAAAGTACTATTATATTTTTAGGCTAACGAACGCAATAAGAACATACTAAATGTTATGTATAACACACCTTAGAATAGCACACGATTACATCCAATGGTTTTATATGCTTTAGAATGACACTTCTGGTTTTGGCAGGATAGTTCTTTATTCTCTGGATGGAACATTTGCAAAATACCAGGAAAATGTTAGACCCTAGTATTCACTAGGAAGCTAACTGAAGCAAACAGGCCAAAATGCTACGGTTTGCACTAATGCATTTATGTTGAGAGGTAACCCAGGAACCTTTAAAGTGTCAAACTCATTCCATGGAGGGCCTAGAGTCTTCTGGTTTTTCCTTTCCTTTAAGACCTACACAACCAGGTTAGGGGAGTTCTTTACTAATTAGTGACCTTAAATTCATCAATCAAGTACAGGGGAGGAGCGAAAACCTGAAGACACTCGGCCCTCCATAGAATGAGTTTGACACGTGGTTTACA